TCTGTAGTGGGTTATTCCTGGGGCTGCTAACTGCAAGGTCAGCAGTTCAAAACCACCAGCCTCTCCTTGGGAGAAAGATGGGGCTTTCTACCCTATAAAAATTTACAGCCTTGGGAACTCCCAGGGGCAGCTCTACTCTGTCCTTTAGAGTCCTTGTGAGCCAGAATGGGCTCAATGGGAGTGAGTTTGGTGTTTAGTTTTAGCTATAGTATGTGCTCCAGTTCTCAACTAGGTAGTTCTTCTGTGTAGCAGCTAGCTTTCTGCCCAGTTCCACCCATCTGCGGTTTTAGTACTTCAGCATTGTGTTCATGTTTTCCTCACCAGATCTCATCTCCTGGCAGCAGGAGGCCTTGCCCCTCGTGTCCGAGAACCTGCCTTTGAGCTGGTGTCAGGTCCTGCCTTCCCCAAGCCCTCTGCTGTCATTCACAGCCAAGCTAGACTCAGGGCCAGGCCTTCTTACCATCCCCTTCCCCCCTCAGGGTGACCACAATGCCAGGGGCAGCCTCTGAAGACCCAAGCTGGGCTGTCCCTACTGTGCCTGGGCTGTGGGTCTTGTCTCGGGCTCTCTGGGTTTTCCTTTGTGGCTTTTGTCCTCTGTCTACTCAGTTCTAGGGTAGATTTTTTTTTTTTACGGTTTTGTCATTGACCTTTTTTTTCCCTCTCAGTTCAGTCACGGTGGGTTATTTTTATTTTAGGATACTGTTACTTATATTTTTAGTGTGATTGTTAATGCTTCCTTTGTTTGAAAAATGCATTCAAAAGCTGTTCTCGCTTTCACTTCTGGTTTTGTTTGATTGCGGAACCTTGTCTTCTTTTCAAGTGAATGCGTCTTTGATTTTCTAATGGAATTTTCGCAATGAACTTATTAGCAAGTGAGGTTAGAGGGAGTTTGTTGACAAGCTTTTCCGTTCTCTTTGTATCTGCCTCTAGGCATCTTTATGGCCAAACGGATCTTTATGAGAAAGTGGACAGTTTTTAAATCTTCAGTAAAAATCACTTTGTGGTATTCCAGTGCTCACAGTGTTTCTCTTAGCTATGTAACAGTAGTATTTAAGTGGTCTCTGAGGGTGAATTCCATAGAGGAGCAAAGCTAATGAAGCACAAATACATGCACACACGGAGAGGAAAATTCAAGGCTGGCAAGTCCCAAATCCTTAGGTTATGTGTTAGGCTGGAGGCTTCTCCCGATTCAAGGGGTTATAGGTTACAAGGGCTGGTGACGACTCAAAGGAGCTGGGGGAGCTAGTGAATCCAAAAATCTGCGTGTCAGGCACTTGGATGTTGGCTCACATCCCAAGAATCCGAGGCCAGATGATGATGAGGCATTTTCAGGAGTGAGGGAGAGAGAGAACTTTTCTGGGATGTTCCTATCCGTTGGATGCAGCCCACGCCCCCAAAGACATTCCCCTTAGATCAGGTTCTCTAACGAATGGAGGAGATGTGACATAATACTGGGAATCACGGCCTTGCTCAGTGGACAGGCAACAGGAGCCATCAAAACAAAAGGGACTGTTGATTTATTTTTAAACGAGATTTGTGTTTCCATTTGATTTTCCTTTGAATGTCTACGTACTGGTAGTATCCAGCAAACACTTACTGTATACAAGGTGTTTTGGGTTGGGGGGACAGCTTATGGTCCATTTGTTTGCACCATATAATGTCACTAGTTATCTTTTAGAAAATGGAAAATTAAAAAGGTAAATATATTTTTACATCATAGTAATATAGAAATTTGCATCCCATTTTAAAAATAACTCATTGAGCAGGTGAATATTTTTAAAGACTATGAAATGTTACCTTATTTAACTTGAAAATAATATCATTGCTGATGCCAGATGGATCTTGCTTCCAAACAGAGAATACCAAGAAAGATGTTTGCTTGTATTTTATTAACTATGCCAAGGCATTTGGGTGGATCATAAACTACCCTTGTTCTCAAGGATGACCTTGAGATAACCTTGAGAACAAAGGGAATTCCAGAGCACTTCCCTGTGCTCGTGCAGAACTTGTACATGGATCGCGAGGCAGTTGTGTAAACAAAACAAGAGAATACTGCCTGGTTTAAAATCAGGAAAGATGTGCGTCGGGGTTGTATCCTCCCACCGTACTTACTCAGTCTGTATGCTGAGCACGTCATCAGAGAAGCGGACTTCTTTGAAGAATGCAAATGCAGCATCAGGATCGGAATAAAGCTTACTAGTAACCCCCAGCGCTAGGCAGATGAGACAACCTTGCTTGCTGAAAGTGAGGAAGACAGGAAGCACCTGGTGAAGACCAGTAATGCAGCCTTCAGTACGATTGCAGCTCAATGTCAAGAGGACCCAGATCTTCACAAGTGGACCAGGAGGTAACATCATGGTGAATGGAGAAAAGGTTAAACTTGTCAAGGATT